TGTGACATCACATGCATTATCATTTAATTTTCTCGACTCCCTAAATTATGTGTTTTCACCCTGGTCTTAATTTGTGAATTTAGAGATCCCAGATCTTCTTCCCGGATCCAGAAGTTCTCTGTCCTGTCTTGAGAATGGTCCTCTCTGCTTTGTTTCTGTCTTGTGAGTTGATGCAGTTAGATTGTGATGGTGGTAGAGCAGGATCATTGGTCTCCTCTCCCACAGCTTCACCACCCAGTGCTGCTCTAAAATGAACCCAAAGGCCAAATTCTTCCCCACATACAGAAATAAATGCCTGTATTTATTTAATGACAAGCAAGCACAAAAGCATTATATACCTTTGTTCTACAGTTTTGCTCTCTGTTAGACTAGCCACATGTGGCTATTAGAACCAAAACAAGAAAGTGGTTCTTCTGTCTACTAGCCACAGCAGGACGCAGTGAGGACTTGATTATACCATTAGACAGGGCAGACATAAAACACCCGACTACAGAAAGCTCTATTGGAACTTTATCCAGAAAGTGGCTCTAGAAGGTGCCTGCTGTATGTCCTTATTTGCTTTTGAACTAAAAAAAAAAGCTTCATTAGAGGCAGCAGATACAGCAGTATTCTAGATCAAGATTCAGCTGATCTTACCATCAGAGCATGAAACAAATTTACCCAAAGTATGTAGATGTCGGAGGGATGGGGATTGTCTAGGTGTCTCACTCATTGCCATCGAATCAGTTCTGACTCATAGTGACACTCCATTGAGTTTCTGAGGTTGTAAGTGTCTAAACCAAAGGAGACTGGCCATCTTTCTCCTGCAAGAGCTGCTGGTAGATCCCAGTGATTCCAGTCACCTTCGAGTTAGCAGCACAATTCTTTCCAGATTTTTACACCAGAATTTCCTTTTAGTTACCTAGTGCTACTATAACAAATGCCACAAGTGAATGGTTTTAACAAACAAATTTATTCTCTTGCCATTTAGAGGGCTAGAAGTTCAAAAGCATGATAACAGCTCAAGGGAAAAGCAGTCTCAGCACCTCCCACCCTCAGTCCTCTTCAGTTCTGGAGGAAGGTCCTTGTTTATTTAGCATTTGTTCAACATCTGGTCCCTGAAGACCTCCATATGTCTCAACTTCTCCAGAGTTGAGCTTCCTAGTACAGAGGCCTGATGCTGAAAGGATGAATGAACTCCACTCCTGGTGATTATTTTTGGTGGTGCTGAGACCCCCTGCTCTTGGCTCATATTATTCCCTAACTCAGGTGAAGTAGAAGTTATTATAGGTTATACCCCAGGGAAACTCATCATTGGATTAGGTTTGTGATGGGATAAAGGTGTGTTGTAGTGTACTCTTAATCTTTTGCTACTATTTGGTTTAGTTGATAATATGAGATTATTATATAACTCCCCTATTACATCATTGTTGTTGTTGTTGCTATTGTTATGTGGTGTCAAGTTGCCTGTGACTCATAGTGACCCTATGTATAACAGTCCTAAACCCTGCTCTATCCTATGCCAATCTTACAGTCTCTGACACACCTACCCCCATTACCTCAGTCACTGAATCAATCCAGTTCATTGAGGGTCTTCTTCTCTTGTACTGTCCTTCCACCCTCTCAAACATGTTGTCCCTCTCCAAGGACTGGTCCCTGCTTGCAACATGTCCAGAGTATGCCAGATGAAGCTTCAGAATCCTTGCCTCCAAGGAGCAGCCTGGTCTCACACTCTCCAGGATGAACCTGTTTGTTCTCTTAGCAATCCATGGTATATTCAATGGAATATCCTCTTCTCTAGCACCACAGCTCAAAAACAAATTTTCTGTCTGTCATCCATAGTCATTGCCCAACTTTCTGATGTATAGCAAGTAATTGCAAAGACTATGGCCTGGATCAGGTGCTCCTTAGTCTCCAGACTGACATCTTTGCTCTTCAGTACTTTGGAGAGATCCCTGACAGCAGACTTTCCCAGTGCAATTTGTCTTTTAATTTCCTGGCTGCTAGTACCAAGAGTGTTGATTGTGGAGCCAAGCAAACTAAAGCTGTTAACAATCTCAAGGTCTTCACCATCTGTCATCATGCTGCCAATTGGCCCAATGGTGAGAATCTTGTTTTCTTGATCTTGAGCTTCAATCTATATTGAAGGCTGCATTCCTTGACTTTCTGGAGCAAGCACTTCAGATCCTCCTCAGTTTCAGCAAGCAGGGTTGTGTCATCTGCATAACAGATTGTTGATGAGTCTATCTCCAATCCGGATGTCACATTTCTCCTCGTAGAGCCTAGCTTCCTGGATAATCTCTTCTACATATAAATTGAAAAGGTATGGAGATAGGACACATTTCATATAAGTATTTTGGAAATATGCAATTCAATCTGTGACAAAATTTTCCACTATGGTTACCATTCTGAAAGGTTTAGCTATCTGGGCTGGGTAGATTTGCTATTGAGTGCATGCTAGAGTGAGAATGTTTGTCAACACTGATAAACCATCTTGAATCAAAAGTTAATTATTAGAAGAGACTTCAGAGTAAAGCCCAAAACAAAGTTCATAAGAGACAAACCAGAATCAAGCTTAGAAGCCCTAGTCTATGATAAAATAAAGACTGCCAAATACCCCCAGAAATGTACACTCTGAAGAGACTAATATTGATGAATGGGACCTTCTAAAGATTAAATCCCTTTGTTCACAAAAACTTTTTCCAACGGAATAAAAAGAAAACCTACAGACTGGGAACAAATATTTGGCAAGATCATTTCAGACGAGAGTCTCTTTTTTTTTTTCAGTTCAATGAAAGAGACTTTATTGAGGGCCCAGGGTCATGGGGCTCAGAAGAAGGCCACCTGCAAGAGGCAGGGGAGCCAGTGAAGAGGGGGCTCTTATTTGACCTTCTTCTTGGGGCGCAGGTTGTTGGTGTGCCCACACTTCTTCTTGCAGCAATTGACAGCACGGGGATGCAGGCAAGCATAACTCTTGCGGCAGATCATCTTGTCGCAGTTGTATTTCTGGGCGAGCTGGTGCAAGGAAGGCTCAATAATGCCACCACGGAGACGCAGCACCAGATGCAGGGTGGACTCTTTCTGGATGTTGTAGTCTGAGAGTGTACGGCCATCCTCTAGTTGTTTGCCCGCAAATATCAGACGCTTCTGGTCAGGAGGGATGCTCTCCTTGTCTTGGATTTTGGCCTTGAC